AACAACTTGCCAGGTCCAAGAGACACTGGATAGTTCCACACCACAAACCCTGGACAGGAGTAAAGTGACCAGCTACCCCAGAATGTGACCAGCACCCAGATTTCTCAGGACCCTCCCCCAGACGACACCCACAAATAAGCAGGAAGCAGTCTTGAAAAACTGCTGCCCCAATTCCCTCAACCTGCTGTGCCTAACTTCCCACCTTTTTATTATAAGAAAAAGATAGGACTGTTATAATCTGCTGGCCTGGTCTGTCATTTTGGTACCCTGTCTCTTTAAGAGACAAGCCCTGCCCACTCCCAACCTTCCTACTTCCACTGAGGCAAGCACATTCTCTCTCTGCCCTTCTGGAGAGGCAGCTTCTGTCCCTCTCCCTTTTCCCCCACCCCTTTCTCCCCTTCCCTTCCTTCTCTACAACCCACTAAATAAACTCTATACCCAAACACTCTTTCTGCAAGATGTATCTGTCTGTCTGTCTCTGACCTGCCACGGTCTTCCACCTGCAAGGGAACCGGCTAAGGGACTCCACTGGTGGGTCCCCCATCACTTGTTTATAAATGATAATAATGATTACTTCTGATCACCCTCTATCCACCTCCTCAGATCTTGGGTTACAAGTGTGCAGGACCAGGTCTGGTTTAGGCAGTGCTGGAGATGGTTCCTGGGAATTAGGCAGTCAATCATTGAAAATTAGTAACAATTCTTATCAATTTGCCTAGGTCTAATTACTGCTTGAACTTCAGTGCAGCCTTTGACTTTGTGTGCTAGGAATGTTGGAATGGCTAAAGGGTGAGGTTCATTCTACTGTCACACAGTGCCCATTTATCTAAGTCTTTAAGATGCTCATGCTGGAGAAATAGCTCAGGGTAACAGGGCTTGCTGCTCTTGCAGAGGACCCACGTTTGGTTGGATTGGGTAGCTTAAACACACACACATACACACGCACACATACACTGCTGTCACACATACACACTGCTGTGTAACAGTTTCCTTGAGATTAAAACATTCCAACAGGCCCAACACAAAGCCCCTAAGCAGGCAGGTGAACAATACAAAACTAGTTTTAAGAATTTCCTGAAACTGACCAGATTCACTGGGCTTTCCCTGCTAGAGTAAACAACAAGAGCTGAGAGGCCCTCTCAGAGAAGAGAACGGTGGGCTACAAAGAAGACACTGGGAGGAGAAAGGCTGTGAAGTCCACCTGAGACCAGTGGTCTGGAAGAAACAGAGACACTGCAGAGCTGCCTGGAAGAGGTCAGGCCAACTGAGGCACCTGGAAAGGGCACTCTACACCCTATATGTTGCTTTCAGGCTTGCAGTGTGCTCTAGGTGCCCAGTTTTCTGAGCTGTCACCCATGTCGGAGTGGGTTTTGGTGATACAGCTGTCTTTGAGTCATTTCTGCTTCTGTAAGCAACCCCAACGGGCTCACCAAGTCGGACTTTGGTGGTATCAGTACTTTGTTCTGTCGTGGGTTCCCTATCTGGGGTGAGTGGATGAGCATGTTTCTTCTCCCAAGGAAAAGTTTTGTCATGCACCATACACAGGGATCAAAATATTAAATCGATAAAAAAATAAAGAATGCTAAAGCCACACTGAGCTTTCAGATGGGTTCCTGTATCTAGAAACCAGAATAGCCAACTCTCTTTAGCAGGTAGACTCACTCAAGCTCAAGTATTTCCCATTTAGGGAAAAGTAGAGCATCTAAAATGATGTAAGGATGCTGTTGACTGTGTGTGTGAGTGCAGGTGCAAACATGCCATAGCGAGAGGACCACAACCTCTGGACTAAGTTCTTACCTTTCTTATTTTAGTGTTAGGGTCTCACTGTGTAGCATTGGCTGGCTTACAGCTTACCATGTAGACCAGGTTGGCCTCAAACCCAGACATCTACCTGCCTCTGCGTCTCAAGTGTGGGGATTAAGGTGTGAACCCTCAAGGGTCTCAGTTCTGCTGAACGGCCTCCCATTTTGTCATTGGAACATAGGAACTGAAGTGAACGTAGGTCATCAGGTGGCATATCAAGCTGCTGAGCAATATCAAAGGCCTAGGTAATGTTTAATAATGGCAAGGTATCCTCTTGGCTTTAGGAGGGTAGGCAGGAAGATTGCCAAGCATTTGAGACCAGGCTGAGGTACACAGGAAAATCCTTCTCAGAAGCAACAAGAAAAACCAAGCAAACCATGAAAACAACCCCCCTCCCCAAACTCCCATCAACAAACAAAACAGAAAAAAAATCCCCTCCCCAAAACAAGCTTGAAAAGCACTTTACCGGAGCAAGTCTGATTTCTGTCATGGCACTTAAATAAAGCAATTTCCATCCTAAGATATTCCGCCTAACAAATTCATGGGTTCTCACCACTCTCAACTGCCAGTGCACAGGCAATCACTGCAGGATGCAGCTTGGCAGAGAGCTAAGAACTGGGGGGAAGGACTGTCTTTAGAAGAGACCTTTCACAGGAGCTGAGTAGAAGGACTGAAGGACTTCTTTATCCACTCAAAGTGTGCTTTCATTTTCTTGTAGCTATTGTCTAGGTAAAGGGCAGGAATCTCAGCTTGCCTACCCATCCCACTACCCAACATAGTTTAGAGGTTCACTGAGTGGTTCAGACAAAGAACCTTGGTTACTTTACTTAAGAGAGGTTTTATGGGCCGGGCAGTGGTGGCGCAGCCTTTAATTCCAGCACTCAGGAGGCAGAGGCAGATGGATCTTTGTGAGTTCGAGGCCAGCCTGGTCTCCAAAGCTACAGAGAAACCCTGTCTCGAAAAACCAAAGACAGAGAGAGAGAGAGAGAGAGAGAGAGAGAGAGAGAGAGAGAGAGAGAGAGAGACTGACCACTGGACCAACAACTTTGCCAAAGGAAAGAGACTACATCCTCTGGTCAGCTGAGGGACTGAGCCAGGCCTGAGCTTTGGCAGGCCACTGAAAAGCAAAGCCAGCTCCCTCTGAAAACTCCTCAATGTTTTGGAAGCCATTATCAACATCGCCATCAGGTGACATTGTTTAATTTAACAATCTCTCTTTCACCAGGACTACAACTTCAAGGACAGCCAGGCACAGGCTTCGAACTTTCTGGTAGGTAGGGCATTTCCAACTCCACACACTTTCTTTTTGGGGGCCTTTCCACTCTCTTCCAGCAATCTCCGTCCTAACAGACTACTGCAGGCAAGGAGGGGGCCCATAGGAAAGATAGATACATTGATCTTGACTGAAAAAAAAAAACCAAACAAACTAGTCTAGTCACTGAGTTTATTAGGTAGGACTGAGTCTATAGCGGTGAAAGTTACTTCAAAAGATACTTTGTTTAAAAATTTGTTTGAGGCACTAAAGGAAGACCAGTGCTTGACAGGACACACATGCATGTATCTAAATACTTTGACAACTTGAAACCAGAAACTTTCACCTAAGAAGGTAACAAAATATTATTTGTAAAGACATAGTTTCAAGTCCTATGTTAGAATGAAAAGGAAGACTGCTTCTTACGATCCAGGTTTCTGAGAAGCTCAGGAAGGTTAACGCAGTGTTTAAAAACGTTTCCCTTAAAAAACAAAACACAAGCCCTCTGCACCCCACTCCAAATCACATTGCGACATCGTTGGTCAGCCGAACTGTACTTAAGAAGCCGCCTTCACGTGCCACATGCATGCAGAAAGTAGATCAGCTCCCGCGGAAGCCACACCACGGTGCATACTTAGTGAACATTCATTCAGTCTATGAGTTTATTTTCGCGCAATGTGAACTGATCGATCAAACCTTCCCAACAGACCCAGAAGACGATAAGTCGCACATTTGGGCACACATACTTCAATTACAGCTTTGCCTTAGCACCAAACCCCTCTCGCCGTGTGCGCGCCTCCCTCATGCGCGCGGTGCTCGGATCCCATCCTGTAACTCGCTCGGCAGATGAAGCCCCTTTCTAGGTACGCTTCGGAGCACGCGAGGTCCGTCCGGAGCCCGCACCGCGCTCCCGCACCTGCCCGCTGCCTCCGGGGATTGGGCGGCCGCGGTTCGCAAAGCTGCCCGGGGCGAGCGGACCCGAGCGCCACCCAGGCCGCGGGACAGCCCGGACTGCGGGCTCTGGAAAGAATGCGCTGCGAGCCCAGCCCCCAGCGCCGCCGGCGAGGGAGGGAGGGAGGGTGGTTGGAGCGCGGAGCGAGTGAGGAAGCGGAGACTGGAGCCGCTCGCCACCCCCATCGCCGCGCTGCCTCCGCTGGGGCCCGCCCCTCCGGAGCTCCCCTCCTCCACTCCGCGCTCCTCCCCTTACCTCCCCCCACGTGGTTCCCCTCCCCCTCCGAGGCTCCGGCTCCCTGCCCCCACGCCTCTCCTCCTCCAGGCTCCCTTCCCCCTCCACGTTCTCTTTCCCCACCCCTCCTCCAGGCTCCCCTCCCCCTCCCTGCCTCCTCCAGGCTCCCTGCCCCCTCCCAGGGTTCTCCACACTTCCTCCCCTCCCCCTCCCGGTGCCCGTCCCCTCCCCCTCCGCGGGTCCTCCTCCCTTCCCCCTCCTCGTCCCCTCCCCCCCTCCTCGCTCCCTCCGCCCTCCCCGCGCGCCCGGCGCAGGCCGCTCGGGTTTGTTTTGCTGCGCGGCCGCCGCCGCCGCCGCGGGCCCGGAGCTCATTTGTGCCTGGCTGGTCCCCGCGTTCCCCGGTGCCGAGCCGGAGCCGTTGGCCGCTCGCGCGCTTGGCTCTCTCCCTTAGTAACAGCTCCCCTCCTGCCTCGGTGCTGCGCCCTGCCCCCGCGCCCCTCCCCCGCCCGACCCGCCGCCCGGCTGTCAGCGCCCGCACCCCAGGGCGCCTCGGGGTGCCGACGGCGTCCAGGAGGGGAGCGCCGCACGTCCGGGAGGGGACAGCGTCTCCAAGCAGGTGAGCGCGGGCCCGGGGCGGCGGGCGCTGCGAACTTGGCCTGGGCGCGGGGGAGGGGCGGCCGCGCTCACGTGCTGCCCCCCCCTCTCCGGTCGCGGTGGCCGGCTGCGGAAGGCGCTCGGCCCCGGCGAGCGGGCGTGGGGGCGCAGGCTGGGTGCGGGGCCGCAGCCGCCCGAGGCTCGCGTAGCGGGGGAGCGGGCTGGGCTCGGGATGGGCGCCCGTCCGCGCTCGGGCGCGCGGGCTGCAGTCACCCGGTCGCGCTCCCCTCCGGGCCGCGCCGCGCGGAGACCCCGGGTGGCGGCGAGGACTGCGGGCGGCTGTTGGGGCGCGGGCGGGGGAGGGGCGCGGCCCGGCCTCGCTCGCTCGGGACGCGCGTGTGGGCACCTTGTGTCTGTGGCCTCTCCAGAAGGAGGCCCTGGCCACAGCCTCGGTAAAGTTGTGGGTCAGAAGTGTATACAGTTGCCAAACTTATTGTCAGCTTCCTGGTAAGTTTCGGGGTGGCACACAAGTCACATTATCTTCTGACAGTGTAGAGGCCAGGTTGTGAGTGTTTGCTGGGTGACTTCCTCTTTGCAACCGATGTCTTTTTTTTTTTTTTTTTTTTGGAACTGACTTTTATTTAAGTGTAATATTCCATGTTGAAAGGCAACTCGAGGCGAGCCATGCATGTATTAAGAGTGTTAGGTAATTTTGGAAGTTCTCAATTTGGATTAAATTTAAGTTGTGAAAATGGTTTATTCCGTGTAACATGTGAGTTGAGTGGCTTTTAAGAAACGCTCTTTTTGTTGGGTTACCAAACACTGAAAATAATTTGGTGATCACACAGAAGTGCTGGAACGTCGCTAAACATGACATTGCCTCAGTCTGGAGTTTTCTTAAAACCTTGCACTCCACAGGACCCAGGGTGAAGGATTTTCCTACCTATGTCATTTACAGTTAATTAGGCAAGTTTACTGTTGACTTTCTTGTTTCCCGTATAGGAACCTTTGGCTGGTCTAAACATGTTAATAAAATATGGTGGGTGAAATGTTGTGTTAGCTTTAGTTTGAATCTTGAGACTAAATGCCCCACCAATGTAATGTTTTTTTCCTCCTCTCCCCAAGTCTCTTGGGATAGTACAAGGCCCTATCATTACTGTTTTAACTTAGCTAAAATGACTTGCAGTAAGCATTTGGTGGCCCGTTGGAGGTAGTGAGTTTGGGGTTTCCCTATGTAATTCATGTTCATTTTTGTTAAATAAGAGCCATGCTTATTGGAGTACTTCAGTAATCCTCACTTCCTGGAACTGTGCCTTCTCACCACCTTAATAAGTTTATAGTCTAGGGAAGTAGGGCATCTTTGTCTGCAAAGAAACATTGTGTATCAGTTGGATTGTGTCGTGGGAGTTAATGGCAAGCTTCCCAAATTATCATTAAGAGTTCTAGAAACAGTTGGCATTTACCTATGGGGGAGGGGTGGCTGGACAAAAAAACGTGCCTAAAAGGAGGTAGGCAGGCCCTGTGTGCAGTTAGCTTCTATGTTGAGGCTTTTCTGCTGCTTTGGGATATTTCATTCAGTTTTGGTGGCCTGCAAGGCAATGAAGTCTGTAATCACAACCCTTAAACACTCAAATCACTTTCCCTCTTTGCTGTAGTTTAAGTAGATCTCTAGTATTTAGGACAAACACTAAGCTGTGGGGGAAGGAAACTGTGTGTCACAAGTTAAGCCACTTAATTGACTTGTTAGTTACTTCAAAACTCTTGGACCTTCTCCCTATGTTTGAAGCACATGCCTAACCTGTACTTGTTGTTTACATAGGAGACACTGGTGCTAAACTGAGTAGTTTCTCAATTTGGATGTGTTTCTTGCACAGTATTGGGAATTGATGCTAGAGCTTACTCAAGCTAGGCAAGTGCTCTACCACTGAGCTACATACAGCCTTGAGATTAAATTTTGTCTTGACTTTTGTTGAAGAACCGTTAAACACTTAAACTTTTTATATGTGCTCAAGACCTGTTTGGTACTTGGAATCAATCTAATGAAGGTTTTATAAGATTGGTTATTTTAATACCTGTCTGCCAAGAAAACAAGAAATAAATACTTCTTGTGCACTGGGAAGCATTCAAGTCAGTGAGCAGAAAGGGTAACCACTGCTTTATAAATATGGGGCTTCTGATAAAAAGGGGTGTGCCAGATGGACCTTTGGAGCCTTCGGCCTGTTGAGTGAGTGTGCTAGTTCACGTGTGGTGAAGTCTAACTCAGTGTGCTCAGAGTGGACAAATGAGTCTTCCCATAGTGTGGAGAGTCACTGAGCCCTTTAGATGGAGTTAGTTGGAAAATTTGTAAGATTTGTTACTTATAGAAAACTGGAACTCAGGGGAGACATGATGGCAGAAACACTGCCACTGGTTAGGACTTTTTTTTTTTCCGGTACAAGTAAAAATTTCTTCCTTTTCAGAAATAACATTTACAGTGTACATTCCTAAAGTTGGAAGGGGAAGGCAGTGAGCAACAGGCGTTTATACTTTGTCCTCAGCTCTTCCTTCCCCTGTGCCTGTGTAGCTGGGAACCATTCACTTTGCCCGCCAGACGGCCAGCAAAACTGCAGTGAGCCAATGCTCAGGGGTTTCACTACTTACTGCCTCTGGTGTCATACAGTACAGTAATTGCCCTTTGCCTGAGAGCCAGAGGAAAGGGACACTGAGCCACCTCCAGGAGGTGTGAGGTGCAGCTTGTGGTTTGTCTGTAGTGTTGGCTTTCTCTGTGGGTGAGAGGTGGAGAAGTGCTCAGAAGATAATTCTTGAGGTCGGTGGTGGCGCACGCCTTTAATCCCAGCACTTGGGAGGCAGAGGCAGGCGGATCCCTTGTGAGTTTGAGGCCAGTCTGGTCTACCAGAGCTGGTTCCAGGACAGGAACCAAAAGCTACGGAGAAACCCTGTCTAGAAAAATCCCCCCCCCCCCAAAAAAAGAAGATAATTCTTGTAGACCTTGAAGAAGTGCTCCACCTAGTGCTTCTGACCCTTCCTCCGTGCTCTTTCTAGATGACACATTTCCCTGTGGCTTTGCCAAGCCTGGATTTCCGATTTCCTGACAGTGCTTGTGTTTCTAATTGGGACTGTAGCTCTGAGGTATCTTTGTCAGGTGCTGGTGTGGTGGATGGCTGGATGGTCCAGGAGCTCTGCCGACATGCAGAGCCCTCCAGCTGTCTGCTGAGATGGAGTGTACTGTCACTTGCTGTTTTTCCTACTACTAAAGATAGCCTTTCCAAATACTGTGACAGAAACAGAAAATTAAGAATGGAAAGCAAAAAAGAGTGTGGACAACTGTCTCAGAAGTGTGCATTTCTGAAAACGTGTAGAAGGTCCTACATGTGATGTAGTGCAGCGCTCTGAGCAGGTCCTTTGGTTCTCCTTCCTCGAGGGTAGACTCGTGCTGTTAGTTAAGATTCCCCCTTGTATCATAGTTGAGGCAGTGCAGTTGGTGTATGTGTGGTGTTGAGAGCAGTGTTTGACTTGCCAAACATCGCCTGAATGTCAAGCTAGGCCTTTTGTCATGAGGTAGGTTTTTTGTGTGTTACTGTTATGGGGCATGATAGCACGTAAAGCCCTCGGCAGGTCTGTTTCCAGAATCTGTGGGCAGAATTCCTGAAATAAACTTAGCATAATTTATTTATTCTCAACGTTGTGCTCGAGGCTTGCTCACGAGGACTTGTTTGGTGTGGGCTTTCCCATGTCTTAGTTTCTGGTCTTAGGCTTCAAATTTGTGTTTCACTGGAAACATTTTCAAGTTTTTAAGTTTTGATGTCTGACAGAACTTGTGGTCTGTCCTCAAGCCCTAACCGTGTGTGAGTCTGCACTCCCTGTCTCAGCTGTCGTGAGTCTTCCTTAGGACACTCGCTCAGGTCTCCTTCCCATACATTCTTCTTTTTACCTCTCTCAGCAGCGTTAGTGCTGTGTGTCACATGTCTGTCTGTCAGGACAAGACTGGTGCTTTGACAAGTCCTTGTGACAATTTGAGCAGCTGGTACCCTAAATTTAACTGAGGAACAGAGCTCAGGTAGTGAGGGGCAGGGGCAGTGGCTTGGGGACAGTATGTGTGCCTCTGAGGCTCGTGTCTTCTGGCAGCAAGTTCACAGGAAGTCCATGAATGTGGGAGTTTTAGGTTTGGTCTTTTCATTAATTAACATTCCTGGTTTTCTGAACAGATTTCTCTTACCTAATGTAACTGTCGACAGTGTCATTTCTACTGGCTTTCATCACTTAGTCCTCCCCCCCCCCCAAAAAAAAAATCCAAAATGGTTGCCTCTTGCCAACTAGACTGAGTTCATGGGCTTCATTCAGCCAAATATTTAGGACTCTTTTTTACCTGTTCCACTTTGTATGCCCTCTCTTCCAGCTGGCCCCTCGCTGGCCCCCAGATCCTGGAGCTGCTGTGTCTGTTAGTGCTGTAGTTCTGCTTGTACCGTCCTTTCCCTTTGGCTTTTTCTCTGTAGTTTCAGCCCCACACTTCAAGAAGTCTCTTTTGCAGTCCTGACATGTTCTTTTCTGGGTCCACTGCATTTAATGCCTGTGGCAATCCCTTTCCCCTCTTTTGCTTTGTTTGTGGGGATAGGCCCTGTTGTGCCTTTATGAGGTGCTCTGCCTCTGAGGGGGAAGATCTGTCTTCCTTGGGGAGAATCATGAAGAATGGGTTGTTTATAGAGCGCCCGAGTTAAAATGAGCCGTGCCCATCCTGTCTGTTCATTGATGGGCTAGAGTCTGCTTTCTGACTTGGGCTTCTAGTAGTATTTCAGACGTGGAGATGTTGCTGCAATTTTAATGTTGCTGGAGTGGGCCAGGGAGAAAAACTTGGTCCATTCTTAGTGAAAGTGGGTAGGTTTGTCCTTTGAACTGGAATACTAGAGTCCAGTTTAGAATTGTGTTACCGTCTCCACTTCATCCAGGTGTGCACATTGACTGTTTCTTATCTGAAATGCCTGGGACACAGAGGTGCTGTGGATTTTTCCTTCAGATTTTACTGTGGGATCTTGGGGCTACTAGGATCCTAGTCTGAATCTGAAGGTCAGTTTTGATTCATGCGCACCTTGTATCATAGCCTAAAGTGATTTCATATTTAGTGTTAATACTTTTGCTGGTTGATGTCTTGTTATCTGAGGTCTGGTTAAAGTTTTGGATTTTTGCAGCATTTCAGATTGTGGGTTTTCTGACCAGGGATGTTCAAGCTGTGCTGTGTGTTTGCCAGGTATGATGCTTAAGATTTTGGAATTGGTGTGTGTTGAGACAGGATCTCACGTAGCCCAGACTTCCTTTGAACTGAGTGTAACTAAGGCTGGTCTTAGACTTTTTCCACTTCTACAGTGTTGCTGCTCAAAGTATGCTAGTCCAGTTGTGGGTTCCTTAACAGTGCCAAGGACTTTGCTTTCTAGATGTTCCTTCTGGCTATTTCTAGGTTTTCCTATTTTTTTTTTTTTGGTCTCTCGAGGCAGGGTTTCTCTGTGTATCCCTGG